AAGAAGGGTCCGGTGCGACAGAGCCCGACACGAGCAGGGGGCAGCTAGTTGACCAGGCACGGACGCAGACGCAGCTATCTTGGGGGACGCAGTAGTCAGTGTGTACAGGCTCAAGCTAGGCGCTCGGGTGAATGTGGCCAGGTGTCTACCAGTCTGGGAGCAAGTGCAGTGGGTCACTCGCTGACCTCCAGGAGTGAACTGGTCAACCCACACATCCTGGAGATCAGCGCCACTCACCAAGTTCGTAGAGAACGAGGGGAGGTGGAGACCTGACAGTGAGCCAGATGGGACTCCTAGACATGGTAGAATCGTGGAAGAGTGCGCAAGGACAGGACCTCCAGAGGGGTCCGCCAGGGAGACCGCAACCGGCCGACTGAGTGGCGTGAGAGTGGTGCAGTCGCAAAAGAAGGAGCGCGAAGCACCTGAGTCAACTGTGAAGGTGTGCAAGGCCTCAGCGGGCGCAGTACCTGAGAAAGCAAACTCACCAGTACCTGGAGCAGCTGACTCACTAGCACCTTGAGCGACAGACTCACTAGCACCTAGAGCAGCAGCACCAATGTCCGGGTCGGGCGGAACAGACACGTAATAGTCACCCTCAGCACTCATAGTCACAGCATACATGGCAGCAAGGATAGCATCATAGTCAAGAGCAAAGATATCAACACCAGACTTAAGCAGATCAACCCAGCGAGAGAGCTCAGTGGCGTCAGGGATCTATGTGCGCCAGGCGTCAGTTAGGCGACCGAAACAGCGCTGCGTCGCGTGTGGCTGCCCGCACGTCTCCCCACTGCGGTCGCCGGTGCGGAGACCGTAAGTGCAGGGACCAGCACCCCTAGACCTACCACGCCCAGCGTACCACTCACGAAGCTACTGGGGTGACAGAGTCTCACAGGAGTGCGGCTGCTGCTGTTGCTGAGCGCCGCCAAAGCCTCCACGCTGCGTGGCTCCACTCCGGCCACCACCACCGCCGCCGCGACCTTCACCACCGCTGCCGCTGCCTCCAGCACCTCCACCGCCGCCGCCGACGCCCCCACTCCCGCCACCACCCCCACCTCCACCCCCACCCCACTGCCACTGCCGCCACCACTGCCGCCACCTACACCTCCACCCCCACCACCACTCCCTCCGCCACCGCCGTCTCCTCCACCGCCTCCACCGCCCCCACCACCGCCTCCACCTCTGCCGCCCCCACCGCCCCTGCCTCCCCTGCCCCTGCAGCTGCGGCGCCTCCTACTAGGGGCAGACGCAGCTCCTACCTCCTCAGCACGAAGGTAGTCAACTCTGCAGCAGAGGCGACTGAGGGGAGAAGGGAGGAGGGCCAACACCCCTCAAAGAAGGGGGTGCAAGGAGTGCCACGATAAGCGCCTACAATGACTATGCTAGTCTCAGCTGCAAGGAGGTGCTTCTCGAGCAGGTCGACAGTGAGGGTGGTGGGGTCAACGACTAAAAGGAGGTCCCTGTTAGCGCTAAGGAGTCAGGGAGGCGGGTGACTATGAAGTAGAGAGTGATGTACATGGGAGGGGGGTTCTTGGTGAGAAACTCGGCGGGAAGCGCAGCGCGGTAGAGAGTGTCACTAGTACGAAGGTGAGTGACGAGGTCAGCTACTATGGCATATGCGGACAGCTCTGGGAACAGGTAGGGCAGGAGAAGGCGGCCTAGTGCACCCGTGGCCGGGGAGGAGTAACGAACAACTACAACGTCGTACAGTGCTTTCACAGTGTTATGCTATCCGAAGTGAGCGCGTTCGGCTAACGGCAGGTGGTTGCAAACAGCTAAGCGAGCAGCAACGTCACGAGTAAGCCACTGTGAGCGAGTCGTACTGTCAGCTATGGCGGCAGGGGCGAGAGAGGCGCGAGACGTTAGGTCAAACAGTGTGACTCCGTCCTTGGAATCGCTCAGTAAGAACAACTGTAGGTCATCGAGCCATGCATTGAACTCTATCGGGCGGCCCTCCGGATCGAACGTGACGACACTGAGAGTGGCCATAGCGGGCAGAGTGGTCGGGCGCGCTAGCAACAGAGCAGCACGCAGGCAAGGCAAAGCAGGGCGGTGGCCAGCAGGGCGACTCTCTGAGTAGTAGCGCGGAGTAGGACAGGGCGGCAGTCAGTAGGGCAGGGTGGCATGGTTGTTAGCGGCGCTCAGGTAGGGCGGTGCGGCCAGCACGGGCAGGGCAGCGCGGCCAGCAGGGCAGTGCAGTAGGGTAGTGCAGTGCAAGGCGGCCATCAGGGCAGTGACCAGCAAGGCAGTGCAGGCCAGCAGGGCAGTGCAGGGTGGCGCTCAGTAGGGCAGGGCGGCGCAGGCCAGTAGTGCAGGGCAGTGCAGGCCAGTAGTGCAGGCCAGCAGTGCAGGGCGGTGCAGGCCAGCAGAGCAGTGCAGGGTGGTGCAGGCCAGCAAGGCAGTGCAGGGCGGTGCAGGCCAGCAAGGCAGTGCAGGGCGCCGCTCAGCAGGGCAGGGCGGCGCGGCCAGTGCTTACACGTGCAGGCAGGGCAGGGCAGTCGCGCTTGCTAGCACTACACCGTCCAGGGCAATGACAGTAGGGTAGTAGAAGTAGGGCAGTTGTAGTAGTAGGGCAGTAGGGACAGCGGGCCAGCGAGGTGTAGGGCCAGTGCAAGTGCACGCGCGGCAGGGTAGGTGCGCACGGGCCTTGCGCGGGCTGTACGGACTGCGTGCGGGCCTAGCGCGGGCAATACTAGCTGCGCGCGGGCCTGGCGCGGGCCGTACGGGCTGCGTGCTAGTCGTGCGTGGGCTGTACGGGCTGTACGTGGGCGGCGCGCGGACTGTATGGGCTGCGCAAGGGCGGCGCGCGAGCTGTACAACCTACGCGCGGGCGGTTCGCGGGCTAAACGGGCCTGGCGCGGGCTGTACGGTCCACGCTCGGGCTGTTCGCGGGCTAAACGGGCAGATTTCGGGCAGGAAAAAAAAACTCATCGGTGGGCCCTCTAAAAACAATGGTCCTTAGAAAGGACCCGCTCTATACCATGTCGAGAAGAATAGGATGGTCATTAGGTCAAGGGGAGGGCTACAAGAACAATATCGAGTGAAATTGTATACCCCCTAGTGCTAACATCCATATAGCCTTAACAACATAAGCAAATACGTTTTGACACAAAGGGGCGCACAAGATCTGACGGATACCATCGAGCCACGTAGGTGACTACTGACATCATCGGGCTCGATGTTGGTTACCCAGAAGGTAATTACCCGCGATTTTGATCTATGACGCGCTAACATTTCGATTCGACTGGAATTGCAAGACTAAGATGCATATTTTGGTACGCTTAAAACATATTTCTACATTTGTCATTATAAACGCATTCGCTTATGCCTGTGACTCATTTATAAATGCACCCCCCTATAAATCAATGTTTTATTATAAGCGCGGTTGCGCTTATACCCGGGGTAATACGGTACCGTATGCGGTGCTGACGTTGTTTATACAATCTATGGCGGTGAGCTCGAGGTCATTGTCATTGTTCCAGGTATTTTCTGCTCTAGTGGTGTGTAGTAGACTAATAATTTTGTTTCAGTCAAAACATCATATGGAATCAATTCTTTAATACATGAACATTTTTATCTTTGAGATAAAGAGGTTAAAAGGAAAATACAACGGTGGTGTTGGATATATAGCTGCATGCTTTATGGTGTGTCATCTATCGGAGCAATTGAACGTTCAGTGGCGGCCCTGAAAGTTCCACGTTAGTAGCACCAGCTTGTATCACCACATATCGTCAACGGTCGAAATGTGCTACGGGCCTCACGAGCCTGTCAACTGTCGCGATACATTCTTCCAGAAGCTTCCCCAAGAACCTTTTTTGGAAACTAGTTGGCACTCCCTAGAATATTGCTCGGAGATTCTTGGGACTCGATTTCATCCAAGTACCTAGAGATCCCGTAAGATTTCCCTGCGTAGGATCGATAATGTCACCGTCTATACTTTGCCCGATGCAGCCGTTGACGCGCGTATCCAGCGGCTTCAGATGGCTGTTGAGTCGCCCTCTCGCGCTCCCCGTCAAGCTTCTCCTAGTGCCCGCTGGACGCCACCGTCGATACGTTTCCTGTAGCGCGCAAAGCGGAGGTTCCTCTAGCGGGGACAAGAAGAAGCTTGTATTTCTCGGGTCGCCTGAGGTGGGTCGGGCGAGCTAGAACCGACAGCGATTGCTGGGCTGCAAAGTCTGCAGCGGCCCGCCTCACTGCGCTACTGCTCACTGCACGTCTGTGCACCGCCAACCTTCCTCTCCTCGCCTCTTCTCCGCCGCGCCATCCCACCACGTGCCTCTCCTAAGCGGCATTCCAACTCCCACCGCGCGTTTCTCCTCGCCATCTCACCGCGCGCCTCTGCTCTGTGCCATCCCTCCGCGCGCCTCTCCTCCGCGCCTTCCCTCCGCGCGCCTCTCCTCTGCGCCATCCCACCACGCGCTTCTCCTCCGCGCCATCCCACCACGCGCCTCTCCTTTGCGCCCCTCATTTCCCCCGCCGTGTTCGCCGCTTCGCAGTGTTTTCGTGCGCCCCCACATATCCGCTTCACCCCAGCCAATCCCCGCTTCGTCCTACTCTTTTGCACCCTCCTCCCCCCTCCCCCCTTCCCTGCCTCCCCTCCTACCTGCCTCCCCTCCTCCCCACCTCTCCTCCGCCCCTCCTTGCCTCCCTTCCTCCCCTCCTCCCCACCTCTCCTCCTCCCTTCCTCCCCACCTCTCCTCCTCCTCTCCTCCCCACCTCTCCTCCTCCCCTCCTCCCCACCTCTCGTCATCCCCTCCTGTTCCCTCCCTGCATCGCCACGCCCCCGCTCCCCGCCCCCTCGTGCAGGTGGCAGCGGGAGTGTTGGACTCACTGCTCCCCCCCCCCTCCCCTCCCTTTATATCCTGCTCCCAGCCCCCTCCCCTCCCTTTCTGTCCTCCTCCCCGCCCCGCCCGCCCCCCCTCCCTTTCTGTCCTCCTCCCCGCCCCGCCCGCCCCCCCTCCCTTTCTGTCCCCCTCCCCTCCCCTCTCCTCCTGCGCGCGCAGGTGGCGGCGGGGGTGTTGGGCCGACTGCTGGACGCGGCTCAGCAGCCGCACTCGCTCTTTGAGGTCAGTCCGTACCCGCTGATAGGCAGGCTAACGGGCAGGCGAACACGCAGGAAGATCCAATCTTGGACAGCGAAAGGGCAGCTCCAATGTGCCGCGTGCAGCTCCAATGTGCCGCGTGCATCGGTGGGCCGCCACTGGTGGATACGGCACTCTGACTTGCTTCTTGTTTCCTCCCTTGCTTCTTGTTTCCCCCCTTGCTTCTTGTTTCCCCCCTTGCTTCTTGTTTGCCCCCTTGCTTCTCCCATGTTGCATCATCTCTGCTTCCTGCCACCCCCCGCCAGCTACACCTTCCCCATGGCATCGCATCACCTCGCAAGCTGCCTCCCCCACCCCCTTCTCCCGCTACACTGCTGCCTCTTCCCACCACCTACTTTCTCTGCCTCCCACGCCATTCGCAACTCTTTCCCATTTCCTTACCCCCTCCCACCTACCTCTTCCCCCCCTTCTTCCCCGCCTTTCTTCCCCGCCCGTCTTCCCCGCCCTCCCCCCTCTTATCCCCCATGCACGCTCACCCCACCAGGTGGCGGCGGTGGTAACGCAGCCGCCGTCCAGCCGGGGCAGGGGGCGCACTAAAGGACAGCTGCAGCCGACCGCCGTGGGACAGCTGGCAGCAGATCGCGGCCTGCCGCCCGACCGTATCCTCTCGCCTGCCACGGCTCGCGATGTGCGCCCTTGTTCGCCTCAGCCTCTGTCCTCATCCGCTGCTCTCATCCGCTGCTCTCATCCGCCGCTCTCATCCACTGCTCTCATCCGCTGCTCTCATCCGCTGCTCTCATCCGCTGCTCTCATCCGCTGCTCTCATCCGCTGCTCTCACCCGCTGATCTGTTACTCCTGTCCTTTTCCCTGTCCCTCCTGACCTTTTGTTGGCCGCTTTCACAAATGTCCTTGCTGTGCTTCCTCGTTAGTACGAACTACTTGTGTTTCTCGAGACTCGAGGACCCTTCCACTTACTGCCTGCATCGCCATCCCCTCACCCCCCTCCCTCCACTTATTCTTCCCACCCCCCCCCCCCCCCCCCCCCTTCCCTCTCACACGTATATCTTCTTGCGCCGCCTGCCCGCCCTCCTTATCAAGCATTATTCCCCCCCTTTCCGCACATCTCCACCCTCGCCCAACCCAATACAATACGCCCACGCACTGCCCTCCGGCCTTTCTTGATGCGCTGCGCTAACCCCATGTGCTGCCAGCCCGCCTTCCTAGAGGCGCTGAAGCACCTGCAGCCAGACATGTGCATCACTGCAGCATATGGAAACTTCCTCCCGTCTTCCTTCCTCTCTATCCCGCTCCAAGGTAAGCACATGCATCCACCCATCTGTCCCTTTCCCTTGAGCTCTCTTGCTCTCTCTTCCGCTCTCTTCCTTGCACTCCCTTGCACTCTCATGCGCTCCCTTGCACTCTCTTTCTTGCGCTCTCTTGCACTCTCTTGCGCTCTCTTGCACTCTCGTACGCTCTCTTGCACTCTCTTGCACCCTCTTGCGCTCTCTTGCACTCTCTTGGTTCTTTTTGCGCTCTCTTCCACTCACCTGGCCCCTCCTCCATAAATCCCTCACACGCAAGCTCTTGTGTTGTGAGCGTAACACGATAATCGAGGCTGTGAGTTGTGCGGATTCCTAGTGGATATTCACCCCCGTTCATGAGCAGGCACTGTGAACATTCACCCCCATTCATGAGCAGGCACTGTGAACATTCACCCTCATTCATGAGCAGGCACTGTGAACATTCACCCCCATTCATGAGCAGGCACTGTGAACATTCACCCTCATTCATGAGCAGGCACTGTGAACATTCACCCCCGTTCATGAGCAGGCACTGTGAACATTCACCCCCATTCATGAGCAGGCACTGTGAACATTCACCCTCATTCATGAGCAGGCACTGTGAACATTCACCCCCGTTCATGAGCAGGCACTGTGAACATTCACCCCCATTCATGAGCAGGCACTGTGAACATTCACCCCCATTCATGAGCAGGCACTGTGAACATTCACCCCCATTCATGAGCAGGCACTGTGAACATTCACCCTCATTCATGAGCAGGCACTGTGAACATTCACCCCCGTTCATGAGCAGGCACTGTGAACATTCACCCCCATTCATGAGCAGGCACTGTGAACATTCACCCTCATTCATGAGCAGGCACTGTGAACATTCACCCCCGTTCATGAGCAGGCACTGTGAACATTCACCCCCATTCATGAGCAGGCACTGTGAACATTCACCCTCATTCATGAGCAGGCACTGTGAACATTCACCCCCATTCATGAGCAGGCACTGTGAACATTCACCCTCATTCATGAGCAGGCACTGTGAACATTCACCCCCGTTCATGAGCAGGCACTGTGAACATTCACCCCCATTCATGAGCAGGCACTGTGAACATTCACCCTCATTCATGAGCAGGCACTGTGAACATTCACCCCCGTTCATGAGCAGGCACTGTGAACATTCACCCCCATTCATGAGCAGGCACTGTGAACATTCACCCTCATTCATGAGCAGGCACTGTGAACATTCACCCCCATTCGTGAGCAGGCACTGTGAACATTCACCCCCATTCATGAGCAGGCACTGTGAACATTCACCCCCGTTCATGAGCAGGCACTGTGAACATTCACCCCCATTCATGAGCAGGCAATGTGAACATTCACCCCCATTCATGAGCAGGCACTGTGAACATTCACCCCCATTCATGAGCAGGCACTGTGAACATTCACCCCCATTCATGAGCAGGCACTGTGAACATTCACCCCCATTCATGAGCAGGCACTGTGAACATTCACCCCCATTCATGAGCAGGCACTGTGAACATTCACCCCCATTCATGAGCAGGCACTGTGAACATTCACCCCCATTCATGAGCAGGCACTGTGAACATTCACCCCCATTCATGAGCAGGCACTGTGAACATTCACCCCCATTCATGAGCAGGCACTGTGAACATTCACCCCAGCCTGCTCCCCAAGTTCAGAGGAGCATCGCCCGTGCAGCGAGCACTGGAGGTGAGCAGGCGGGTAGGGAGCTGAAGCAGTGGGAAAGGGGCTGAGGAGGTGGGTAGGGGGTAGTAAAGGGGAGAGGAGAGGGCGAGTGGCGAGGGGCACTGGGTGGCACTGGGTGGCACTGGGTGGCAGCGAGCACTAGAGGTGACCAAGGGGAAAGGAAGGAGAGGAGGGGTAGAGGAGGGGAGGAAGGAGCAACAAGGGTAGACGTGCAAGGGGCAGTGGAGTCAACAAGGGGCAGTGGAGTCAACAAGGGGCAGTGGAGTCAACAAGAGGCAGTGGAGTCAACAAGGGGCAGTGGAGTCAACAAGGGGCAGTGGAGTCAACAAGGGGCAGTGGAGTCAACAAGGGGCAGTGGAGTCAACAAGGGGCAGTGGAGTCAACAAGGGGCAGTGGAGTCAACAAGGGGCAGTGGAGTCAACAAGGGGCAGTGGAGTCAACAAGGGGCAGTGGAGTCAACAAGGGGCAGTGGAGTCAACAAGGGGCAGTGGAGTCAACAAGGGGCGATGAAGTAGCAGGTTTCACGAAGGCCCGCCTTCCTCTCCCCACCTCCACCAATTTCCTTCCTCCAGGCAGGCATGCCAGCCGATAAGTTGTTATTATTTAGCAGAGGAAGATAAAGTGTGTTGAGCAACCTCGGTGCACAACTCACTGCGGCCTTCCTGATGCCACCTGCCCCATCGCACCCCCACCTCCTTGCTGCCTCTTCTTTCCAACACCTCACCTCTGTGCCATGCAACACCACACCTCTGTGCCATGCAACACCACACCTCTGTGCCATGCAACACCACACCTCTGTGCCATGCAACTTTCTGCATCTTCACTCCATGTCCTCCCCCCATGTCTTCCTCCCATGTCTTCCCCCCGTGTCTTCCCCCCGTGTCTTCCCCCCGTGTCTTCCCCCCGTGTCTTTCCCCCGTGTCTTCCCCCCGTGTCTTCCCCCCGTGTCTTCCCCCCGTGTCTTCCCCCCGTGTCTCCCCCCCGTGTCTCCCCCCGTGTCTCCCCCCGTGTCTTCCCCCCGTGTCTTCCCCCCGTGTCTTCCCCCCGTGTCTTCCCCCCGTGTCTTCCCCCCGTGTCTTCCCCCCGTGTCTTCCCCCCGTGTCTTCCCCCGTGTCTTCCCCCCGTGTCTCCCCCCGTGTCTCCCATCTCCTATGGCCTCGCCAGCAAGGAGTGGCAGAGACGGGAGTGACAGGGGCATACACGGTGCAGACGGTGAACGCAGAGCCCATCATCGCACAGGAGAGGGGGCGGGCGCTTATGCCTCTCCAGTTGACCCATAAGTCACCTTCCCCCCACCCTCCCTCCTCATCTAGCAAGGGGTGGCAGAGACAGGAGTGACAGTGGCGTACACGGTGCTGCAGATGGATGCAGGCCCCATCATCGCACAGGAGCGGGTGCTGGTAGCGGATGACGTGCAAGCACCTGAACTGCTCAACGACCTCTTTCATCGGGGTGCCTTCACTGCCCAACCCACAACCCCCACCCCATCTAGCCCACCACAGCCCCCACCCCATCTAGCCCACCACAGCCCCCACCCATCTTCTCACCGTGCTGCATCTACTTCGATGCAGCATCCCACCGTGCTGCATCTACTTCGATGCAGCATCCCACCGTGCTGCTATCTTTCACCTCATCACTGCATCACCCGCACCATCCATGCTATCGTCCCTTCCCACTGCCGTCCTTCTCTTTCCTCTTTCTCTCTCCCCACTCCCCCTCGCACCCTCCTCTCTCTCGGCTCCCCTCCCGCCTTCCACCCACCTGCTACTGCAGCATCTGCCCTCACTGAGATGCCTCACAAAGTGCAACACCTTTCCTCCCCCCCCACCCTCCTGTCTCCCCTGTCCCTCCCACGCCAGGCACGCACCTGCTACTGCAGCATCTGCCCGCCGTGCTGGATGGCTCTGCGGCTGCCACTGCGACGCCGCAAGACGACTCCCAAGCTACCCACGCGGCTAAGGTGGGGCCAGCGCAACACCACATTGCATGGGCTTGCATGGTCTTGCATGGGGTTGCAAGGGGCTGCAAGGGATTGCATGGGCTTGCAAGGGGTTGCAAGGGGTTGCAAGTGGTTGCATGGGCTTGCAAGGGGTTGCAAGAGGTTGCATAGGGTTCCATGGGGTTGCATGGGGTTGCAAGGGGTTGCATGGGGTTGCATGGGGTTGCAAGGGGTTGCATGGGGTTGCATGGGGCAGCAGAGGAGGGGGTCCTGATGTTCCTCTCATCTCTGCACCTTGCATGACTGCCCTCCCTTGAATCCCCTCCCACGACTGCCCTCCCACGACTGATAGAATTCAAGAACGTGTTTAGTAATGAGCCAACAAGGCTCTGTAATACAAGCATGCAAGGAAGAGAAGGGTGGAGGAGGAGCTAATCCTATTGGCCACTAAGTTGGCCAATGAGTGAGGTGCCTTGTGGAGTAGGAAACCTCGCAAAGTAGCTAGGTTGGGATTGGTTGGTCTAAGGACCGAAAGTTGGCAAGTGCCAACCAAGGGCCATGACCAAATCCAATCTTGACCAACCACATGTGGTTGGAGTGTACACCCTACCCCCCAAGAACATAAAGGACTACACCTATTCTAGCCTATGAATGTTGTATATTGTATACAATTACAACAACGACTGCCCTCCCACGACTGCCTGGTTGCCTCTCATGGCAGGTGGCAGCAGAGGAGGGCATTCTCAACTTCTCTCTGCCAGCCCTCACTCTGCACAACAAGGTGCTGCCTTCACAGCACCACATGCCATCACAGCACCACATGCCATCACAGCACCACATGCCATCACAGCACCACATGCCATCACAGCACCACATGCCATCACAGCACCACATGCCATCACAGCACCACATGCCATCACAGCACCACATGCCATCACAGCACCACATGGCATCACAGCACCACATGCCATCACAGCACCACATGCCATCACAGCACCACATGCCATCACAGCACCACATGCCATCACAGCACCACATGCCATCACAGCACCACATGCGTTCACAGCACCACATGCCATCACAGCACCACATGCCATGACAGGTTTAGAACTCCTTTGCATGGCAGCTTCTGCAGGTTATGTGGTGTTACCCCTCAAGTATTGCATGCACAAGCGTGGAGCAACCTTAAGAGAGCTCAGCACAGCACCTTGCTGATTCAGTGCAGTTGAACTCATTTCGCACGCCTTTCCACTTTTCTCAGTTGAGCTGATTGCACCACAAGCACTCCACTTGGCACATCATTCTGCATTCCCTGCCTTATGACATGCCATTGTCCCTCTCTCCCATCTCTCCCCATCCGTTACCCTCCCTGCATCACCTGCAGGTCAGCCCATTGCCCTCTCACCCACTCCCTCCCTTCCCACCCATCCCCATTGCTCCGTCTGTGCTCACTCCTCCACTCCTCCCTCTTACCCAAACCACACGTCCAGGTTCGGGCGTTCCCCCCCTGGCCCGGCACCCGAGCCTCCTTCCTAACCAAGGACCCAGTGACGGGCGACGTGGACAACGTGTCTCTCAAGCTCCTCCGCACGCGGCCCCGCCCCGCTACCCCCGCCTCCTCCCCACCATCCCCCGCGGTGGCACCGGAGGAGGTGGAGGAGGTGTGGCTGGAGGGGCAGGCCATGCTTGTTCCGTGCAGTGATGGATCTGTGCTTGAGGTGAGTGGTCAAGGTGAGCAGTCAAGGTGACCAGCCAGTGGTGGTGAGTGGTGGTGGTGAGTGGTGGCATGCTCACCTGCACGCCATGCTCACCTGCACGCCATGCTCACCTGCACGCCATGCTCACCTGCACGCCATGCTCACCTGCACGCCATGCTCACCTGCATGCCATGCTCACCTGCATGCCATGCTCACCTGCATGCCATGCTCACCTGCATGCCATGCTCACCTGCATGCCATGCTCACCTGCATGCCATGCTCACCTGCATGCCATGCTCACCTGCATGCCATGCTCACCTGCATGCCATGCTCACCTGCATGCCATGCTCACCTGCATGCCATGCTCACCTGCATGCCATGCTCACCTGCATGCCATGCTCACCTGCATGCCATGCTCACCTGCATGCCATGCTCACCTGCATGCCATGCTCACCTGCATGCCATGCTCACCTGCATGCCATGCTCACCTGCATGCCATGCTCACCTGCATGCCATGCTCACCTGCATGCCATGCTCACCTGCATGCCATGCTCACCTGCATGCCATGCTCACCTGCATGCCATGCTCACCTGCATGCCATGCTCACCTGCATGCCATGCTCACCTGCATGTCATGCTCACCTGCATGCCATGCTCACCTGCATGCCATGCTCACCTGCACGCCATGCTCACCTGCATGCCATGCTCACCTGCATGCCATGCTCACCTGCACGCCATGCTCACCTGCATGCCATGCTCACCTGCATGCCATGCTCACCTGCACGCCATGCTCACCTGCATGCCATGCTCACCTGCATGCCATGCTCACCTGCATGCCATGCTCACCTGCACGCCATGCTCACCTGCACGCCATGCTCACCTGCGCGCCATGCTCACCTGCATGCCATGCTCACCTGCATGCCATGCTCACCTGCATGCCATGCTCACCTGCTGCAGGCACAGGAAAAGAGGCCTGTTTCACTGCAGCACTTCATTCAGCCTGTCATCCATCTCCCCCTTACATCTCCCTCACAGCCTGTGATCCATCTCCCCCTTACATCTCCCCCTTACATCTCCCTCACTACACTACCCACCCAACATCTACCTCCCACATTTCCCTCCCACCCATCCCATTGCGCCCGCGTGTGCATGTCAGGTGCTGGAGGTACAGCCAGACAGCAAGCGACCAATCACAGGCATGCAGTCCACTCACTCTCATACATCTTCCCTGCCCTCCCCTCCCCCCCCCTCCCTCCCCTTCTCTTGCATCTGCCTCCCACCCATCCCACTGCGCGTGCATGCATGAGTCAGGTGCTGGAGGTGCAGCCAGAGAGCAAGCGACCAATGACAGCCAAGCAGTTCTGGAACGGCCTCCGCAACCGCAAGCTCTACCGCCCTGCTTGAACCTCTGCCGCCCCGCCAGAACCAAACCTCTGCCACCACCCAATTCAAAGTTTGACCACCGATGTGTTGCTCTGCCGCCCGGCTTCAAGATCTGCCGTCCGGCTTGCAGCTCTGCCGCCCTGTTAGCACGATCTTCAAAATCTCGGTCGGCCCTACAACATTTGGTTGCATGCAATCACCATTGCAGCTGCTCTTGTTGCTCAATGACACAGACAGAATTCCTCCTTTCTTCATTACTGCATTCTACTTTGACGGGTGTGGCTACACCACTGCACCCTATTACCACACATTTATATAGCATAAAGCCTTTGTTTGGTTTGCCATGCTGTGATGGTGCTGTGCGTTATTGTGTCGTGGACCCATGTTCTGCCTGTGGTTCTCCATTCCTCTTTCCTCTCTCCTGACTTCTGCACGCTCTTGCACTGGTCTATGCATTTGTGTTGCTGCCATACAGCCCACACACACACATTAGGTATGACATGTACAGCACCATGACACAGCAAACTGCTACAATGCAATGCAAAGGTGAAATCCCATGCAATCCACAACCAGGGCCTATTTTATCAGGGTAAATCACCTTGATGCCCTGATGAACAGGGTGGTTTTTAGGTAGTAACACTGATGCAGTAGGGTAATTTTTTTGGGACCTTCATTTACCCTGATGTGCCAGGGTTTACGTTTAAGCTACACTGTCGCGTCAGGGTTGCCGAAGTTCTTAGCGAGTTCTACCCTGAAGCGAGTTCCAGGCTCCAGCCGACCCCCCGCCCCCCCCCAACCTTCCCATAACCCCCATTCCCCGAAACCTGGGAATCCCCTTTGTCAACTGTCGCATCGCAACTGTACAATTCGACACGACATTACGTGTGCTGGCACGATGATGAGTGAGATTGTTATTCTGTGCAGTGTTAAAACTAACTGTCTCAAGGGCTTGAAAAATTGTTACACTGATGACCCAGGGTAAAAAAATCTAGATCTGCAAAAACCCTGACAAATCAGGATTTTCAAAGAGGGATACTCTGATAATCAGGTTTTTTATGATGAGCAACACTGATCGTAAGGGTTGGCCAAAACCAAAAATTAGCCCTGTCCACAACCCATGCTGGTCGGCTCAACTCCACTGCTACACAGCGCAACACAACACATGTGATGCGATACTCTGCCACTGAAGAATACACAGCACTTTTCGACGAGCCTGGTGTCTGGTTAGAGCACCCACCTATTCGCCTGTGAAAGGCCGGCCTGAAAGCACGCTACAGCCTAGAGGACAACCACTCAGCCTAGAAACCCTTCCATTCGCCACCTGGTCTCCCATCAACCACCAGTGGCTTGCTCTTGGGAGCACCACCGGCACGCACAAGTAAGGCAAGCATGTCACGACAGGCACTCGCAGCAGTGAAGCACCGGATGGAGTCCTAAGTTCCCAAGAGCCACCTACTGTGTGTACACCGAGACAAGCTGTTGGGGGAGCTATTAGTAATGCTGCCATGGCCAGCAGAGTGAGCCTCAGATGCTGCTGCTGCTACCACCAGGACATTCACCACCGGGGCAGCTCCAAGTGCCATGTCAGCACCAACCCGAGTGCCACATCAGCACCAAGCGCCACGTCATCTTGCGGTCAGATCTCAATGTTCATCCCGGCCTTCTTCGACAGGCCACCCACACCAGACAGGAACGCCGCCCGAGCCTTGTGCCACTGCTCCTTGCCGATCCTCTGCGCCTCCCGAAGCTGAGCCTCGGCGGCGTCGCGTGTGCCCCCGTGCACCTCCCCCTCCCCCGCATCTATCAACTCATCCACTATACGCGCCCACTTCTGCCTCACTGACAGGGTCCCCCCCGTCCCCCCCGTCCCCCCCACTTCCCCTGCAGACAGCCCCCCCCTTGCCGCTGCCCCTCCTGCAGACAGCCTCGCTGCTGCTGCTGCCTCCTCCTCTCGCCCTGACCCTACAGTGATCGCTCGCCCCATCTGCTGCCGCGCTGCTGCAGCCTCCACCCTCGGCTGCTGCTGCTGCTGCGGTGCGGTGGTTAAAGCCCGCCCCAACTGTGCGTGCCTGTGCTGCTGCCCGTCGCGCTCTGCCTCGCTCTTCTCGCCCTTGGCCCCAGCCCCAGCTGCACGTGCAGCAGTGGCAGTGGCAGTGGCAGGGGCAGGGGCAGTGGCAGGTGGAGGTGTCTTGGGTAGCATCGCCGTGCCTTCATCCACCTGGATGGCCACATCTGCCGGGCCTCGCGCCGCCCCATCGCCCACCTCCACCACCACATCCCCTCCTCCCCCTGCTGTGGGAGCACCAGCAGTAGCAGCAGGAGAACGAGCAGCAGCACCAGCAGCGGCAAAAGCAGCAGCAGCGGCGGCGGCGGCAGCGGCAGGCGCTGTGGCAGCAGAGACGGCACCATCACCACCCTCTTTCCCACCCACACCTACAACCCCCTCCCCATCGCCCTCCACCTCCCTCTCCGCCCACTCCCCCTCCCCCTTCTCCCCGTCCATCTCCCTTCCCCAGAACTCCGAAAGCCGCTCGGCCGCCTCCCCCTCCTCGGCGCGTCTCGCCCGCTCCACCCTCTGCCTCTCCTCAAACGCGCGGATGCGCTCAGCCGCCTGCGCCTCCCTCTCCACCATCGCCACCTCCTCGCGCCGCCGCAGCGCTGCCAGCTCCTTGCTCCAGTAGTCCGATAGACTCTCCGCCTCCTCGCCCTTTTCTTCCTTCTCCTCCCCTCCCGTCTGCTCCGCTCGGCGCTTCTCCGCCTTCTCTGCCTTGTCCGCACGGCTCTGCTCCTCAATCTGCCTCACGCGCTCCTCGGCTTTCCGCTCTTCCTCCAGCAGTGCTTGTTTCTCCTTCGCCCGAAACTCCTCCAGCTCCTTCTGCCAGAACTCTGACAGCGTCTCGCTCTTGGCGCTCTTCTCGCTCGTCTCGTCCTCATCCTTCTTCCTCTCCGCCTCTTTCTCACCTCCCACTGCCTCCTTGCCGCCTTCCATCCCCACAGCAGCAACAACTGCCACTGCCCCTGCTGCTGCGGCTGTTGGCGAAGGTGCAATCGTTTCTGATTTCTCCTTCACCTGTACCTTCTCCCCCTTGTCCCCCTTATCTCCCTTCTCGCCCGTTTTATCTGCCCTGTGCCCCTGCACCGCCCTATCACTCACCCCCTCCTCCCGCGCCTCAGCAGCAGCCACCAGCTGCCGAATCTCCTCAGCGCTGGCGGCATCGGGCACGTGGAGAGTGAGGGCGCGCTCAAGCGCCTGGGCGTACTGGTGCTGGCGCTCCTTCATGGTTGAAGAGCGCTTCATGCGCTGCTGCTCCGGGGGTGTCTTCTCCTCCTCCTCCTGCTCCGCCTGTTCCCGCAGCTCTAGAGACTCCACCGCCACCGTTGATCGGCGCTCGATGATGACGATCGAATGGTCGTCGATGGCCGTGCGGGACAGCACCACCTTTTCAAAGCGGTCTTCGACCGGTACGGCGGTCTTCACCTGTGGCTCCTCCTCCTGGCAGCTGGGGGGGCCAGGGCGCACGCAGGTTGAAGGGAAGAGGGTTTTGGGGAACGGAGAGGGGGGAAGAAGGACGAGGGAGTGGCAGGCAAGTTACTTGTCAAATGCTCCTCTATTGACATGGTGGGAAGAAGGTGGGGGACACATGCGGGGCGAAGGAGAGTGAGCAGGGAGGGGAAGGCAAGAGTGGGTATGGGAGAGAGAAATTGTCAGGCAGTTCACTCGCATGTAACAGCAGGAGTAGCGGGATGCAGTGCAGACGGAAGGAATATACCACCACAGTGACCACGCGATACACGAGCAGCGGCACACCACCACTGCACCTGCCCCGCCCCCACGCACCACCTGAAGGCAGCAACAGTGCAGTGCAGAGCGGCCCACCTGAAGTGGGCGGTGTAGTGCAGGGTCGAGGAAGCGGTGCTTCTCCCAGCACCTCGCCCAGTGCCCCACCCAGTGCCCCACCCTGTGCCCCACCCTGTGCCCCACCCTGTGCCCTACCCAGTGCCCCACCTGAAGTCGGAGGTGTAGAGGATGTGGAAGAGGCGACCGGGCGCGTAGAGGCGGCGAGGGTCCTTGAGGCGACGCTTGTACAGCCCGCACGAGTCCCAGCAGCACTTGACGCACAGCATGCATGGCAGACTGAGGAGGGTGGGGGGAAAGGGAGAAAAGGTGGGGGGCGCATGGCATGGTTGGGGAAACAAGAGAGAGGGACAAAGTGCTAGGGAGGAACTTGGGGGAAGGAGAGTTGGGGGAAGGAGAGTGGGGGAAGGAGAGTGGGGGAAGGAGAGTGGGGGGAAGGAGAGTGGGGGAAGGAGAGTTGGGGGAAGGAGAGTGGGGGAAGGAGAGTTGGGGAAGGAGAGTTGGGGAAGGAGAGTGGGGGAAGGAGAGTGAAGCAAGGAGAGTGAGGCAAGGAGAGTGAGGAAGGGAGTAAAAGAAGAATAGAGGGAAGAAGAGTGGGGGATACCAGGAGAGCGGAGGAGCATACCAGAAGGAGAGCGCGAGGATGTTATCGATGGGTGCTGACGTGCGCGGAAGGAAGTCGTCCTGCGGGGGAGCGGGCAGGGGGAACGACGTGCGCGGGGCGAGGGGGGAAGGAGGCGGGGGGAAGCGGAGGGGAAGAGAAGGCAGACGAGAGAAGAGGAGCCGGTGTGGAGGGGAGTGACGAGGGGAGAGGGGCGAAGGGAGAGGTGGGGGGATGACGTTGAGAGGCCAAACGAACAACTGCAGCACGCTGAGTGTACGAACCGCCGGAGACGTCAGCTCACCTGCAAGACGACGGAGTTGATGATGTCAGCGTACTTAATTGCGAGGTTGAGGGACGTGGACCGCGCGGGCGCGATGCAGAAGCAGCGAAGCCGCGCATTATCAAACCCCACCTCGTCGGGGTTCTTATGCAGAATCACCGTCATCATCGCGACAATCCCGCTCCCCAGCGAGTGCCCCGCGAGCGTCACCGTATACTCCGGGTTTTCCGCGGCGAGCGCGTTGAGCGTCTCCATCTCCTGGTCGAGCAGCCACGCGGCGGATTTGAGCAGCCCGTGGTGCACGTAGCCGCCGTCGAAGCGCTGCTTGCCGATGCGGTTGTCCATCAGCACGCGGTAGTCGGCGAAGTTGGCCATGTTCAGCCCGCGCACCGCGAGACAGATGTCGCGCGCCGCGTGGTCCACGTAGATCACGTACGGCGGGCACCGGCCCTGCGTGTCCTTGTACCCCGCGAGCCGCACGACGTCATTAATCTCCAGACGGTCGTTGTAGACCGGGCTGTTGATATCCTCCTCGTAGACGGACAGCAGGATGCGGCAGATTCTAGGGACGTCTTTAAACTCGTCGTAGGTGGCGGGCGGCCAGTCCTTGCTAGCGGTGGAGCCGGAGTGCAGGCAGCGCCGGCACAGCCACCACATGCACCCGCCCATGAGGCACACCAGGCAGATGAGCAGCGGAACCATGGCTCTGGTTGGCGCTTGCCGGCTACGGGTTACGTGGTGGCTTTCGACGTGGGTCGACTGCGGGTTACTCGAAGATGAGGAGAGGCGTCGCGGCGGTTGCGCTCGAGCACGGATGGATTGAGTGCGATAAGAAGGATATCCTCGCTAACAGCTGTGCTGCTACTCGATTGGACGCCATTATTATCGTCATTTAAATAACTAAAGCCATTGCATTGCACACAAATAAGCGCTTAACTATTCCTCAGAGCAATTGGGTGCTCATCGCTTCAAGGAGGTAGACGGGAGCCATGGTTCACGCGTAAGTCAACGCGAGGGTCACGCAAGGATTAACGGGTGGGACGCGCCTGCTCAAGCATTCGACCGGAGTCGCAGAGCTCGCTGGCGCAGCTCCAGTTCCGCGGACGGCTCGCGGAGACGACTGCGGAGATTTATTGTGCTGCCAGTGCCTTGCGTACGACCCTCTACCCGCGCCCGAAATCGATTTCGCTTTGCTTCTTTGCTGTCACGCAATGTGCGTGTCTACTAGTGGTGCAGATGCTCGACACGGGAAGCATGATATGCAATGGGCCCATTCAACTAATTCCGAGGGCGGGAGGGAGGGTACATTGTGTTCGAATTTTGCGGTTTCGTACGGTGATGTGCAGTAGAGAAAGACTATTTTGATTTAAACGCTTTAAACCACGACTCACCGCTTCATCTGAGCTGAGGGAATCAAGCACCAATTTCCGTGTTGACATGGCTGTTCTCGAGGTTGAGTTGGCTTTCCGGCACTCCCCTAAGCAAAAGACGTGTGGCTGCGATTGCCTGGCCATTCACGTCAGCGCCTGCTGCCGCAGCGCTCGTCAGTCCCACGTTGCTGGGCTGCGATTGATCCACGGGAATAGTTTCTGAAGCTGCATAGTTTTTACCGGGATGTATTGTATCGCGTACACACCCTCGTTCGTACATTTGGCAGTGGGTTTGCGAAGTGTTTCGTTGTAAGGAATTTTCCTAATTCCTTACTGAGGCACTCCGTACGCGTACAATTCCAACTTTTCAGAGTTCAGGCTCGGTCCGTCGACCTCGCCTTCCGAACGTCCTTCGCGTCGCCTTCGGGTTTCCCAACCCCAAACCTGCACCCAACCTTCAAGCGACCCCGCGACCTCGACCTAGCTAGCTTTGCTATATTATGCCTAGGCCCCGTTCAGGCCCTCATAAGTCAGACTTTTTTCTCTAATTTGGACTTTTTTTCTCTGATATTTCGTATTTTTTTTCCTGTGTACTCTGATAAAATCAGACTTTTCTGGGCCTCAACTCTGTAATTTTCAGACTTTTTTTAATGCTATCTCTGACAGTTCAGAGTTTTCTGAGAGTGTACTCTAATAATTCGGAGTACAAACGCGTCCTTGACGGGTGATTCGGACTTACGGGTCACAGCAGATTCGTATTGACACAGCAAATCCGAGTCTTACAGCACTAGATTTTCTTCCAATCATAGGAAAATCTCTCTGACACAACAGATTTGCGCTGTCAAAGTACAACAATCTTCGCCCAATCACAACAAAATCGCCCTGACATTTCACATTCGCCCTGTCAGGGCATGTTTCGATAGCAGATGAATGAAACATTGAATACACTTTCGATGAAACATAGAATACATTGCTTTTGAATGATCAGACTTTTGTTTTAAGACACTCTGAAATTTCAGCCTTTTTTCTATACCAAGTCTGAGATTTTCAGACTAAAACAGTGTACTAGTCTGACGAATCAGACAGGCAAAAAACGAATCTGAGGGCCTAACCCCGTTGTTTGCTGGGTAGTTGTAATCACTTCCGCGATATTGCATTCTACGCACTCTTCTTTCGTACAAACTCATAACACTTGGTATCAGAGCTACTTTCCTAGGTTACCCTCCACTTTCCGGGATAGTTTTTAGTGCAGGGGTACGATAGACTTGGTGGGCTGCAAAGCGGTCGGCTGAAAGATAGATACGATTATCTCACTCCGACTAATAGCGTTTGCGCCTTCATCAAAGTCAGCAAAATTGATGTTAACCCACTGCCCGTTAGGAGTGTTGGAATTTGCCGAGAGTCACCCTACAACGGGAGTGGACTACGAAGGAGAGCACGGAGTTGTGTGGGTGATCGTAGCGCTCTAGTAGCGTTCTATCAGAGTTCTTACTACTTGCTGTGACCATTGAGAAATTTGGCAAGAGTTTCCACTAAGGAAATTGAAAGAACATTGAAAATTGAGAATTAGAGTACAAAGAAGAGCATGCAAGTGATATGACTGGAATGGCATTGCAATCCATAGCAAGCATTCTGCAAGGCGAATTGCCAGCACTGCATCAGAGCCGTTCGCCAACGCTGAAACAGAGCGGTCTGCCAGAGGAGCAGAAGGGCGACATGCGAGCGCTGCAACAGGTCGGCCTGCCAGCGCTGCATTCGCAGGTGAATATCTACGCAGGTGTGCAACTGCCGAGTAGGTGCAGATAGACGGTTGCACCGTCAGAGACATTGCGTAGGTGCCAGGTACAAAACGCTCCGACGGTTTCGTCAGGTGTCCACCGTCGAGCACGTGATGCCATTTCGCAGGTCAAATTTCGTCGCAGAGAATGCCTGTGCCCAAGCGAGGGCGGGGCCTTTCACTCCGACACTCCCCTGCCCAGCTCAAGCTTGGGCCCCCACACACAAGGTCCACCCAGAACCGACTTAATAGAATACAAGGGGATATTTCTGTGGCGTGCACACCTCCGCACGCCGATCACCGCACCAGCCATGTTAGAGGACATGGCACCTACTGCTGCACGTCGTCGTCGTCGCCGACTTCGGCAAGGCGAACCTGACCGACCGCGACAGAGCACCGGTTGAAGGCCGCAAAGTGCAGCCCTTTCGTAACGAAGTCCGCCGGCTGCCCGGATGTCGGGATGTACTCCAGCGCAATCTTCTTGCGCTTCACCATCTGCTGCAGCCAGGCGTAGAGTCGCTCCATGTGCTTGAGGTTGCCCTTCAGCCCCAAGCCCTCAGCGACAGCGATGGCGGACTGATTGTCCACGTTCAAAACAGTTGGCGTCCCAGCATTAAGGAGCTGGAACTTGGCGAGGAGGAACAGAAGTCGACGAGCCTCCTTGCCTGCTTCGGTGGCCGCGATGTACTCCGACTCTGTAGAGGACAGAGTCACGCACTTGATGCGTTGGCTCGTCCAAGAGACAGCTGCGCCGCCGAAGGTGAAAACGTAGCCACTTGTGTCAGAACATTATAGCTCATGCATATTGTGTAGGCTATAGTGGGGTAGCCCATAAGGGGTACAACCCGATTAGAGTTAGTACTTGTACACAATTCATTCATATTTCATTCATTCTCGTTTCAATTTTCTCATGGTATCGAGCAGGTTCCCTCGTGGGAACTGTTCCTAGGGCCCACCAATTCGATTTTTTTTTCCTGCCCAGAGCGCGCTCAGCTCTAGCCCGAGTCGCGCTCCCCCTTTCTTTCTCGCCCCGTCGCGCCGCCCTAGCGGCCCTGTCGCCTGCCTTGCGGCCCTCGCGCCGCCCTTCCTGGCCCCAACCCGCCGCCCGGCGGCCTCGTCGCCTACCTCGCGGCCATCGCACCGCCCTTTCCCGGCCCCGATCCACCGCCCTACGGCCTCGTCGCCCACCCAGCGGCCCTCGCGCCGCCCTGCGGCCCTGACGCCGCCTTTACCGGCGCCTACCTGCTGGCCCCGCCACCAACCAGCGGACCCGCCACCTACCCGCGGCCCCGCCACCTACCTGTGCGGCCCCGCCACCTACCTGCGGCCGCGCCACCTACCAACGGCCCCGCCACCTACCCGCGGCCCCGCCACCTACCTGTGCGGCCCCGCCACCTACCTGCTGGCCCCGCCACCTACCTGTGCGGCCCCGCCACCTACCTGCTGGCCCCGCCACCTATCTGCTGGCCCCGCCACCTACCTGCGGCCCCGCCACCTACCAGCGGCCCCGCCACCTGCCTGCGGCCCCGCCACCTACCCGCGGCCCCGCCACCTACCTGTGCGGCCCCGGCGCCTACCTGCGGCCCCGCCACCTACCTGCGGCCCCGCCACCTACCTGCGGCCCCGCCACCTACCTGCGGCACCGCCACCTACCTGCGGCGACCCCGCCACCTACCTGCGGCGGCCCCGCCACCTACCTTTGCGGCCCCGCCGCCTCCTCTCAGCGGCCCCGCTGCCTCCTCCCAGCGGCCCCGGACGCCGCCCTCTCAGCGGCCCCGCCGAGCCGCCCAGCAGCTGAGCCGCCCAGCAGCCGAGCCGCCCAGCAGCCGAGCCGCCCAGCAGCCGAGCCGCCGAGCCGCCCAGCAGCCGAGCCGCCGAGCCGCCCAGCAGCCGAGCCGCCGAGCCGCCCAGCTGCCGAGCCGCCGAGTCGCCCTGCAGCCGAGTCGCCCGAGCCGCCCTGTCCGGTAAGAGCAGCGCCTCTTTCACAGCACTGCCCTCACCCTACTGTTTGCGCTGCTAGTCTACTACTGTCATGGCTACCCCTAGTGTCCTCGCTTTTGACGCTGAGGGTCGGGCCATTGACTTTGACGTCTGGATAGATGACCTGTAGCTTTTCTTATAGTGCGATAGGGCAGACGGCCTCTCCCTCTTTGACCTCACTTCTGGTGCCTCTCCTGCCCCCGCTGCTGATGCTGACGCCACTGTTCACTCACAGTGGGCCACGCGCGATGCTACTACACGTCTTGCTGTGCGTCGCCACCTGCCTACCTCTAAGCGTGCGCACTTTAGCCAGTACAAGAGTGCTCAGACCTTGTACGACGCTGTAGTTGCACGCTACTCCTCCCCTGCCACTGCTGCACTGAGCCGCCTCATGCTACCGTACCTCTTCCCTGACCTTGCTGCCTTTTCCACAGTCGCTGACCTCATTACGCACCTCCGCACTAGTGACACTCGCTACTGAGCTGCGCTTCCTGCTGAGTTATGCGCCAAGAACCCCCCCCCCATGTACATCACCCTCTACTACATAGTCACCCGTCTCCCTGACTCCCTTCGCG